CCATCCCAGGACCCTCGGATCATGACCTGAGCCGAAGGCAGACGCTTAACTGACTGAGCCACCCAGGCGCCCCATAAATAAATATTTAAAAAATAATAGGTCTATTCAAGTCTTTAACTTTTTAAGCATTGGATTGTCTTTTTATTGTTGAATTGTAAGAGTTCTCTTTAAGTGTAAATACTGTACCCTTGTCAGATAATTTGCAGGTATTTTCTCCTGCTCCATGAATTGTCTTTTTGCTTTATTTTTTTTTTAAAGATTTTATTTATTTATTAAAGAGAGCGAGAGAGTGCGCATGCATGAGCTGGGGGCAGAGGCAGAGGGAGAAGCAGGCTCCCCACTTGAGCAGGGAGCCCAAGTTGGGGCTCAATTCCAGGACCCTGGGATCATGACCTGAGCTGAAGGCAGACGCTTAACCGACTGAGCCCCCCAGGCACCCCAAGCCTAATTCTTGATGATTACCTCTATAGCCTTGTCAGGTAGCTGTAGTTACTGTGGTCTTTCTGAGTTACATGCTTAGCTACACCGTGTCTAAAAGTCAGCTCAAGGGACCACTTTGCAGTGAATTTTCTCCAAAGGCTGCAATCCTGGGTGGAGAGATTTTAGTCCTTGGGCCAGAATGATCAGGGTCAAGTCCCGGCCCTACCACAATGTGGCCTGAACACATTCATCAGCCGCTTGAGTCTGTTTCCTGAGTGGTAACTGGGTTTACCTCTCAATACTCTATACATTTATTGAGGGAGTGAAATGCAGTGAAGTTCCATTAAGGTTGGAACACACGATACTTTGTGGAAAGTCCTAGTGGATTATGTTTAACATGGTAACAGTTCTAATCTCATTGTAAAATAAAGCTAACATTCATAAAACACCAGATGATAAAAAAAATAGTGTATTTTATGGGAGATGTTGAATTTTTATATACATTTAATTTAAAAATGATATTGTCCAAATATATGCAGCCTGTCATATATATTTTTATTTTCTTTGCGATTTTATACTGTTTGCTCTCGCTTTCCATCTGCTCCCTTATTCATCCTTGTCCTTGTAATGACACTTAATGGTAACAAGTTTCATAGAGACAACTACATACACTGAACATTTACTATACGCTAATTTCGTACTAGGCACCTTACATGTTACTTACCTGCTCATGGCGACAGCTCCCAGTATTGTCCGCTTGTTCGAACACTCATGTGGCCTGTGGCTCGGGATGTTACCTGTCTGTCTTACCTGGGCTTCTGTAACACCTGCCACAGGCTGGGGGGCATGACCAGCTGATGCTGTTGCTCACCGTTCTGGAGGCTGGGTATCTGGGATCGAGGTGCCTGCTGAAGAGTCAGCTCTTGGGTGGGACCCGCTTCCTGGCTTGGAGATGGCTTCCTTCTTGCTGTGTCCTCGCACGGCAGAGAGGGGAAGCTCTGGTGTCTCTCGCTCTTCACACGAGGGCACTGATCCCATTGTGGGGGCTCAGTTTTCCTGACCCCATCTAACCCAATCATCTCCTTAAGGTCCAACCTCCTAATACCATCACAATGGGAGTTAGGGCTACACCTGTGAATTTGGGGGGCACAAATATTCAGTCCATAACATTTCACCATGGGTCCCCCCAAATTCATGTCCTTCTTGCAGGAAAAATACATCCAATCCATCCCAACAGCCCCCAACGTCTTGATTTATCTGGCTTCAACTCGAAAGTCTTTAGTGAGGTCTCACCTAAATCAGGTGCAGGCAATGCTTTAGGCGTGATGCGTCGTGAGACAGAATTCCTCTCCACGTGTGAGCCTGGGAAGCACACCAGTTATGTGCTTCCAAAGTACGGCCACGGAACAGGCTTAGGACAGACATGCCCGTTCCAAAAGTGGAACTCGGGAGGAAGAAGCGGGTGGGGACTCCCAAGCGCGTCCACCACCCAGCAAGGCAAAACCACCAGACCTGAGGCTTGAGACTAATCCTCTCCAGTTCGATGCCCATCTGTGCCTGTCACCGAGTGGCTGGGGCAGGGGGGGGACCTGGACACAGGACCAACAAGGGCAGACGGAGGGTGTGAACAGCTTTCGATGTGATTTATTTTCCCTTTCTCTCACTGTACAGAATTTACAGAACATCTATGATGTCCTCAAGTGGGTCTTCACCATTTTCCCTCAGTTCTGCCTGGGTCAGGGACTGATAGAACTCTGTTACAATCAGATCAAATATGACCTGACCCACAACTTTGGCATCGATTCCTACGTGAGCCCCTTTGAGATGAACTTCCTGGGCTGGATCTTCGTGCAGTTGGCCTCGCAGGGCACGGTGCTTCTCCTCTTGAGGATTTTGCTGCACTGGGACCTTCTGCAGCGGCCACGGTATGTCCTGTGGGGCTCAGCCCGGAAGGGCGCCACCTGTTCAACAAAGAGGGAGAAGAAGCTCCATCCTGGAGATAGCAAGACAAGAAATGTGTCCGATCCGTGTGATAACACGGTGCTAATGAGTGAAGATTTTATGTTGCTTTTTCGTCTCTTTTCTTTCCATCTTTCTTTCTTTTCTTTTTTGATTGGTGTGAGTCTCCAACGCTAGGAAGGAGAACGTCAAAAGATAAAGTGCCAACCTGCAAGATAATCGTTCTAATTATTTAGTTGTCCCCTTTGAAATTGCTCAATTTCCCTCTTACTCTGATTGTAGCGTCTAGGGCGAATTTAGTTGATACCATAACAAAATTAATTAATAAATTAATTTTTAAGAGATTTTATTTATTTATTTGAGAGAGGAAGAGCACGAGCAGAGTGAGGGGCAGAGGGAGAAACTCACTCCCCACTGAGCAGGGAGCCCGACGCGGGCCTCGATCCCAGGACCCTGAGATCATGACCTGAGCCGAAGGCAGATGCTTAACGACTGAGCCACCCAGGCGCCCCTCACATAATTTATTTTTGTAGCTAAATGACTTTAACTCCTAACATCAGGAATGGATGGAAGGTCAGCCTGATAACCGCTTGCCCTTTGCCAGATCCTGCCTGTTGCCATTGATGCTGTGTTCTTCTCTTTGTTAGGTGACGATGAACGTCAGGTAGCGGAAGGAATATATATATATATACTAACATTTACATATATCCCACATATAGATACATAATTGTTTATAATATATATGTTTTATTGATATTTACGTTGAGGTGTATGTATTTGTAGATCTGTAATGTGGCCCATCCGCACACACACGCACACGCACGCACACACACGTGTGTCTCTATTATTCTAAGTGGGATTTAGGTGGTTTTGTGCAGGCGTCTGGACTATAATCAGATGACACATTATAGACACACACGGAGGAAATACGCTTTGCTGTGTCGGCCTCACAGTGCGTGTGTCTCCTTGTGCCCCACGCGGCCCCCATCCATTGCCTTGGTCTCTCCAAGAGCTGCACATGTCTCTCTAAGGATCAGAGATGGATCCTACATGGAGAAATTACTAATTAGGATCGTGTCGCTGGAGAACCTGTTAAGGATCGTGGACACGTTATGAATATTTCGTGGCGGTGCCTTTATAGAATTGTTCCCGTTAGTCATTTCAAGACATGCTTCCTTTCGAATTCCTTTCAGTCTGCTAGAGCAGCAAGCCACACTGAATATAAATTCCAAAGCTCTCTCGAATTGGCCACAATCCCTCTGGAGTCTAGATTTCCAGTATCTGACTGAATTTGGAGGAGAATTCTGAGTGCCTTTCAAACATAATTGGTTCCTTGATCGGCCCTCATGAGTTTAATCTGTTTTAAATAAAATCTAGACCGTAGAATCCCCTTGGGTGGATTTCAGGGTGCCCCATTCTCTCTGGGAGAGCATCAGAAGACTTCTTTTTAAAAGAGAAGACTCCATGTCTCACTTGGCGGAGCATTTGTTCCACCATATTTTAGAATAATGCCTTTGCTATCCACAGTGAATCATCAGTATTTATTGTTCTTTGTCAATGTGGGGGCCGCAGGACACTGAAATGTCATCTGACTGAGACACTAGTTGCCTGCTACCTCTATGGATGACTTACTACAGTGGGGTCTCGCTAAATTAGCTTGTGTTTTTTTTTAAAGATTTTATTTATTTATTTGACAGAGAGACAGACAGAAAGCACAAGCAGGCAGAGAGGCAGGCAGAGGGAGAGGGAGAAGCACGCTCCCTGCTGAGCAGGAAGCCCGACGTGGGGCTCGGTCCCAGGACCCTGGGATCATGACCTGAGCCGAAGACAGATGCTTCACCGACTGAGCCACCCAGGTGCCCCTAAATTAATTTGTTTTTTAAATCCACTTCTGGGAGCCTGTGGGTGGCTCAGTCGGTGAAGCATCTGCCTTCAGCTCAGGTCGTGATCCCAGGGTCCTGGGACAGAGCCCCTTATCGGGCTCCCTGCTCAGTGGGGAATTTGCTTCTCTCTCTCCCACTCCCCCTGCTTGTGTTCCCTCTCTCACTGTATCTCTCTCTGTCAAATAAATAAATAAAATCTTAAAAAAAAAAAAAAAAAAAGTCCATGTCTGGCCAGGTCACTCTTCATTGACAAAAGAAGAAAATCCTATGTTCTTAGCCAGGCCCCCTCAAGTCGGGCAGCTCATGCCCTGTGAAGCTCTCTGTGACACCCCCTCGACCCCCATGGGTGACATTTGCCTCTGGTCATCTGCTCAGTCGGGGCCCCTGGCAGGACTGGCCTCCCCCGCCTCCAGCACCCACCTTGTGCTGCTCCCCACCCCCAGGGCCGGCCCGATGCCTTCCCAGCCTTCCCGTTGCGGCCCATCTCTCTGCTGGGGCCGGAGTGTCGTTTCATAGTGTTTACGTGTCACTCTGCTCTGCTTGACCGTCCGCTCCTTTGTGCGGGGAATGCCGAGCACTGGTGTTGAATCACGCACGTAAACAGGAAGATGCCCCCCCCGGCACCTGGGAGGGATAGTGCCTGTCCCCCCGCACCCCCCCAGCCAGCAGCGGGTCCCTGAGCAGGTGCGGACCCCTCCTCCTTGCTGTCTGCCCCCGCCGGCTGTGGCCCCGACCGCGTCTGCGGAGAATCCAAGCAAGTCTCCGTGAGAACCTGAGCCCGGGCAGAACACCAGGCAGGCTGGGGCCGTTTGGGGCCCTTCTAGCCTCCTCTCTCCGGTCTGGAGCTGACCTGGCCCTACGTGCCCAGGTGCTGGTTGGGTGCGAGCAGGCACGTGGCCCGGAGGCATTTCTCTGCTGCTGCTGGGCATTTCGACTCTCAGGTGCCCGGGCGTCTCCTTCCTCCGTAATGTAGGTGATCCATGCTAAATAGCATGCTGGACATAACCACTGTTCTTGGGTGGTTTTTTTTCTTTTTGCACCTTAAAAACCATTACTTTTCATCCATTAAAATACATTAAGTTCAGGGGCGCCTGGGTGGCATGGTTGAACATCTGGCTGTTGGTTTCAGCTCGGGTCATGATCTCAGGGTGGTGGGATCGAGCCCCGGGCGGGCTCCACGCTCAGCGGCGAGCCTGCTTGAGATGCTCTCTCCCTCTCCCTTTCCCGTGGCCCCCCCTAAAATCAATCAGTCTTTTTATAAAATACCTTAAGTTCACACTTAGCCTAAAGCTATGCATTTCAAATCCACCGTATAATCTTGTTCCCAGTACAGAATATAAGAATTGCAGAGCATTCCTGAGCTGATATAATGATCCTGGAGTACTGATTTCTGTAATTTTCCACTGATCTTGGTTTTTTCTCCAGTGACTTGTTTCTCGTGCTTTTGAATGTTAAATGAATGGCGTCATGCAATAGATACTTCCGAGTAGCTAGGTGTATTCACTCGTCCTCTAGGTTGCATGTTGAATGGATTCTGTATTTGTTCAAGGGTGATCTTAGGCACAGAAAAAATAATGCAGGGAAAGGACCTAAGGCACTGGGAGATTTTATTTTAAATATTTTATTTTATTTTAAATGCCTTTTTATCTCAGAAAAGTTGAAGACTCAGAAGGAATTGCAGAATTCGTACAGAGTCCCTGTGCACCCTTTACTCGGCTTCTCCCAATGATGCCGTGATTAATTTGGTCGTATATTACATGACAGTATCTCATTGGCAAAACCAGGAAGTTGATTTTGGTACAACCTTAACTCGGGGGTCTGTACCTATTTAATGATTAAAATGTTGGCATGTTACAGTTTACAGGAGAAATCGAAATTTACTTTAAAGTTAAAATGTGCTGGGTTGAAAATCATAAGGAAGATTGAAAAAAGAGCAGCTCAGATTTAGAGCAAATAAATTTGAAGTGAATATTAAATTTGTATTCACCTGATAAATACTTATTAACTCTATTATGCGTGGTGTTGTGTGAAGTACTTGCGATACAATCCCTTTACACAATCCAGTGTGTTCTATGTAACTATAATGTTTGGGCTTTTTTTTATGTACTACGCACTTTACTTAAGTGACCTATTTGCTAAAAATGCTTAGACAATATGGCTCCTTGTAATAATTTTGTGATACATTCTTTTTCCACTTTGCACAGAAGCCTGGCCTTTTTTTATTATTCCTAAAATTGAAAAGCAGCTCTAGTTGAGCATCTGTCCACTTTGCTGTCTTTTAGGAACATGAACATTTCCTTCACATTAGGGGATGAATGTGGACTCTTGCTTGTTATGTTTTCTTTTTCTTTTTCTTTTTTTTGATTAAGATTTTATTTATTTTTTTTGACAGAGAGATAGAGAGAGAGCACAAGTAGGCAGAGAGGCAGGCAGGCAGAGGGAGAGGGAGAAGCAGGCTCCCCGCTGAGCAGGGAGCCCGACGTGGGGCTCGATCCCAGCACCCTGGGACCATGACCTGAGCCCAAGGCAGACGCTTCACCGACTGAGCCCCCCAGGTGCCCCGGACTCTTGCTCATTATTAATCGCAATGGCAGAAGTAAGGTGTGTGGACCAGAGCTGACAGTGCAGCCTCAAGACCACATCTTCTGTTTCGACAGGTCTCTGACCTTTCTGTCTCTCTTGACTCTTCCATCTCCAGTTCTCAGTGTGACTTAACCCTTACTTCATCTTCCCAGGGGCCAGTCTGCCATCCAGGGCACACTCACATCCTCCAAGGACCTAGATGTTGAAAAAGAGCAGATAAGAGTGTTGAAAGGAAGAACCAGTGAAGACCTTCTTGTGTTACACAACCTTAGTAAAAGCTACAGAAGCTGCTTTAAGAGGACCACGGCTGTGCGAGATATTAGTTTGGGCATACGAAGAGGAGAGGTAAGGACCTTCTGTTTGTACCCCTTTCTGTTACAAACCCATGTATCTCTGTGCATTGGCTTGTGTTAGGCTCAGGATATCTGTGGTCGGACCCAAGAGCCTTCAAATTTCTGGAATTTCTGCAAAAATCACTAGACACAGAATCTGAGTAGAGAGTCTATTGGCTCTTTCCCCAGCGAAAACTTTGCTGACTGATGGATGGGGTTTATTCTGTTTCGTAATGTTAAAAATTTCATGTGATTAAAGAGTTTTAATCGTTGTTTATGCTACGGGATGACATTTTATTGAGTACAAATACTTTATCAACCCAGTTAATTCAGGGAACCTCTTCTAACTCTAACTCGGACTTCCATACTTTTTAACTGGCCAGTTAAGCCCATCTACTAAAAGGCTCCTTGGGAAAGGGAAAGAACACTCACCCCAAGGCAATAGCTCAGAATTTTTTTGCTCGGATATGGCATTAATTCTCGTAGAAATGTTTAATCAGAACTGATAGAAGCCATGCAAATTGTTCCTGATTTGTGCTTAATTGCATAAAAAGAAATCAACTCTGAAAGTGATTACCTTTAATTAACTGTTAAAAATAAGAGGTACCTTGCATTCATATTGTTCCCAGCTCCTGAGAGGCTCGAGGCAGGTTACATGGTTACGTGATTGGCGGCCATGCTGCGCTGTGAGCAGAGAGCAGGTGTTTCAGAGAGGACTATTCGGAGGGAAAGAGAAGCCTGGGGACCAGTCTAAGTTGATCCAGGAGTATCCTTACGTGCTGCACTGTGGTTTGTGGCTGAAGAGGACTGTATGTGTCCTGAGGTCGGTGGGGCATCCCCGTTCAGCATCTTGAATGTGGTGAATGGTCATATACCATTCACCACATTCAATACGTACCTCAGGACACGCCGTCGCCAGGACTCTGGCTGAAGGAGTTTTTTTGTAGCTACTATTGGCCCCTCAACCCAAAGACTGACTCTGCAACCTTTGGCATCATATTGAACTATTTGTTTTACCTCTACTTCAAAAATCATTTTTAGTTTTGCTACTACCTGTCGGGGTAGTTTTAAGCTGAAGGGTAAGAGAAAAACTTGGAACACTTCATAAGGGAGGAGCTCCAGGGATCTGAGATGATCCGAGGTGCCACTTACATTTGAGTTCTGTTTGCTGGACTTTTTGTGAACGTGGTTTAAATACTTAGATGTGAAGTGCTTTGTAAGAGCCAGTGGAAGAGACAGAGAAGACTGAGCTATGTCCCCGTCCCTCTAGGAATGAATAACTGGGTAGGAAACGGAAGACCATGATCACGTAGCATGTTAGGTAACGGCAAGGCGAGGGTAAAAGCGTGTGAACGGTACTGCCTTAGAGCTGTCAGTCCAGAAACGGCAGCTGGGTCCATGGGTCGGATGGTGGGAGAGATCCAGTCGAGACGGGGGGAAGCATGGCTATGAAAGCAGGTGGTAATTCAGGGAAGCACCTGTCATCCAGAGGTGCCACATAGGGTCCTGTGGTAATTAGGTAGGGCCAGCGCCAGGAAAGCCAGAACAGGCACTTTCCCAAGATTCAAGGAGCAGGGAAGTCAGCTGCGGTCAATAGACAGAAAGCCAGCTGATGAACCACACAGACTCAGTCTCTACCACAGAATCTCTAGCTAAGAACATACTGACGAATAAAGACGAGGTCTAGAAAAGAGAGCAAGAAGGCCATTTTTCACCTGGAATATAAGACAACATTGAACCAAACACCGCCCCCCTCCCCCTCCCCCTCCCCCAAAATGTTGATGCTGAGAGTCAGAGTTTAGAACTAACAGTTCTCTTCTTGACTCAAGTCAAGATCAGCCTAGAGTCTGAGTTGGGGGTGGGGAGAAGGGGAGGGAGAGTGGGGAGAATATTTTAAGAATGTACTTTATATTTTGAAGATTTTATTTATTTATTTATTTGAGAGAGAGAGAGCACACACACGTGAGTGCAGGCGGGGCAGAGGGAGAGAGAGAGAGAGAGAGAATCCTGAGCAGACTCTGCACTGAGCAGGGAGCCTGATGTGGGGCTCGATCTTACAACCTGAGATCATAACCTGAGCCAAAACCAAGATTCAGAAGCTTAACCAACTGAGCCACCCAGGCACCCCGAGAACGTACTTTAAGCGGCGTCAAGAGGATAATGATTACAATGATGTGAGTTTCAAGAACTACCATCCTCCACAAAGGGACACAGTTAGGACCTTGTTGGGACCGCCCCCCAGAGGACGGGGGATCTCAGCACGATCCTGGTAGTTGGCATTCACTTCTCACCCTCTGGAGTGTTCATACACAGATTCACTCATCACAGGTGATTGTCGACATGGTCACATCGCTCAGACACCACGATCATTTCCAGAGTGCTTTGTACAATCGTGTGGTTTTAAAGGTCTGGGATTATCAGAAACCAGAAATGTCGGCTCTGAGCTGGTTGTTCCTTCTCTCCTTTCAGTGCTTTGGGCTCCTGGGGCCCAACGGGGCTGGGAAGAGCACCACATTCAAGATGCTGAACGGGGATGTCCCACCGACCTCAGGACATGCCGTCGCCAGGACTCCCACAGGGTAAATCCAGATGCAGTCATTCTTGCTCCCTGACACACAGCCCGTGTCCCCTCAGTCCTGTGCCCAGAGTCTGAGATGCCACTTCCCTCCATATTTACCCTCCAGTTAGCTGCCAGGTGCCCCTTTTCAGACAGGGAAGAGCCTCCAGGGCCAATGAGATAAGCTCCCTACATCTGGCCACAGGGTCAAGGACATGTCTGCAGAAAGCACGCAGGGCTGACCTCTTTTGTGGCCCCCGATGGGCTCTAGGTGTCTGGTTGCTGACAGGTGAGTGGGAAACGGCCAGGGGCTGGCTCTTCTCGCTTCCCCAACAGATCCAGCTTCAAACACCCCCACCCATGGGACAATGGCCCCAGGGGGCTACATGGTTTCCCTCTTTCACCACCCAGACCCCCTCTTTCAGGGGGTTGACAGCTTTGGGCTGGGGAGAGTATACGTATGAAAATCCAGACGGTGGCATCTGGGGAAGCAGGGAAAACATCTATTCTCCTTGCTGCAAATACTATGGAAGATTCTGGGTGTTCTGCATGCTGCAGACTGTCCGAGGCCACCGGGTCCTGTGGGGGCTCTCTGGGTAACCCCACAGAGTTTTATCTCCGTATGTCACTCCTAATGCGGCCAGTTAGGGTGCGCGTCACCCCATTCTCTGATTCCTTCTGAGCTGCACTGCTGACTTGGGGACATGTCCCCAGGGGTGTGAGTGCTGTCAAAGGTGTGGTCATCAAGTCGGATGAGGCGCTGACTTCTCTGTCCCTGCTCTGGTCAGGACCGTTAGAGGCTCTTGTCTCTCCAAAGAAGGAGAATCCTGGTTCCAAACCTCTCTGGAGGCCGGATTGGCTGCTTGCTTCTTGCTCTAAGTTTGCCCGAGGAGCTGACTTGCCCCAATTGCACTAACTAAAATCTCCCACTTGCAAGTTTAGGGCTCTTTCCGGGCGGGCCTTCCGTGTGCCGTCATGTGAGTCCCAAAACGGAGGTTTCCGTGGCTCCCTCTATACGCACACTTCTTCCTTTCCGTACCGGATTATAAGGTCCCTGGCATATATCTTTTTTTTCTACTGCAGCTGATCACTGCAACTTGACAACGTCGATAATAGATTTCAGACGTCCGTTGCTCAACTTACATAAGGAAAACCATGTCCTCGGAAGGTCCTTCTATAAATAGCTCCCGTCTGAGTACCATAGTTGATTTCATAGCCTGTCTGTTGGGGTCACAGAGTCACTTTTAAGTATGCCTGGAAATAATGCGCTTGAGATTTGTATATATGGGTTCAAATAGAGTAATTGAAAAAAAGTTGTTCAAAAATATTAAAATCTCCCATGAATTGGCTAATTCTTTGCATCGATAAATGCTTATTGTCCTTCTATGATGTGCCAGGCAGTGGGAAATTTTCTTGGACTCTTAAAATGCAGTGTTAATATTTACATGTCTCCTGCTGGGTGTAATTTAGACATACATTCATATCTGTGTGTATGTATCTGATTTTTAAAAAAGATTTTATTTATTTGAGAGAGAGAGAGAGAGGGTGAGAGAGCAAACATGAGCAGGTAGAGGGGCGGAGGGCGAGGCAGAAGCAGACCCCCCGCTGAGCAGGGAGCCCGATGCTGGACCCGATCCCAGGACCCTGAGATCATGACCTGAGCCGAAGGCAGACACTTCATCAACTGAGCCACCCAGGCGCCCCTATATCTAATTTTATCTATTATCTGTGTGTGAAGTATGGGTGATTAAATGTGGTGTTCGTGTGGAGAGATGCATATTTTAAAATCAGACAAGAATATAAAGATCATTTATTTGGTATGCTTCATTTACATTATTCCATGAGCATCTCCCAATCCCCTTCCATAATAGTTATTGTTTTAGTTTTTTACAAATCTGGTGGGCATGAAATCTTATTGTTAAATTAATTTGCACTTCTTTGATTATTCATGAACTTGAGTGCTTTTCCCACATTTATTTGTTTGGTAGGTTTCCTTCCTGCCAATTTCCTGTCATGCCCTTTGTCCTTTTCTCTATAAGTTGTCTGTCTTTTGGTTACTCATTAATGTAAGAGTTTTTCATACATTCAACTGGAGATTAATCTTTTTTTTTCATTCTAATTTTTATTATTTTTAAAATTTTTATTTTTAAAATTTTATTTAAATTCAAGTGTAATATTGGTTTCAGGAGTAGAATTTAGTGATTTGTCACTTAGGTATAACACCCTGTGCTCATCCCAACACATGCCCTCCTTAATGCCCATCACCCAGTTACCCCATCCCTCCAGCAACCCTCAGTTTGTTCTCTATCGTTAAGAGTCTCTTATGGTTTGCCTCCCTCTGTTTTCATCTTATTTTAGTTTTCCTTCCCTTCTTCTACGTTCATCTGTTTTGTTTCTTAAATTCCACATCTGAGTGAAATCATGTATTTGACTTTGTCTGACTTATTTTGCTTAGCATAATACCCTCTAGTTCCATCCTCGTCATTGCAAATGACAAGATTTCATTCTTTTTGATGGCTGAATAGTATTTCAGCCAATGAAATACTACACTGCATATAGAAATATATACAATGTATATATACACCACATATGTACATTGTGTGTGTGCATATATATATCTATATACATCTTTATCCACTCATCAGTTGATGGACATTTGGGCTGCTTCCATAGTTTGACTATTGTGGACATTGCTGCTATAAACATTAGGGTGCATGTGCCCCTTCAAATCAATATTTTTGCATCCTTTGGGTAAATACCTAGTAGTGCAGTTACTGGATCGTGGGGTAGCTCTATTTTTAACTTTTTGAGGAACCTCCTTACTCTTTTCCAGAGTGACTGCACCAGTTGGCATTCCCACCAACTGGAAACTAATCTTTTGCATGTTTTATGTGTTTTAAGAATTACCTTTCAGGGAGCACTGGGTGTTATGCACAAACAATGAATCATGGAACACTACATCTAAAACTAATGATGTAATGTATGGGGATTAACATAA